TTTGAGCTAGTGTTTTTAAATTCAATTTTAATAAATATTTTTTCAATCGAAGTTAATATAAAGAAGGAGCTAACAATTTTATTTGATTTTTAATTTTTAGCCACGTACTCTTTTGAATAAAATTTTTCCTTGTGTTGTTCTTATGACCGCACAGTGACTATTGCTACCAAACTACAATAAATGTACTAATGCAGAGAAAGAAATATAAAGAATACATTTTAAAATATATATACATATATAAATATCACTACCGACAAAAAAACATTTCGTGTACTCGTCTCTCAAATGTATGTATGTTTAGACAAATGATTAGGCAAAATTAGACAAAAAATATTATTAAAAATTCAAAACATAATATAGAAATTTAAAAAAAGGTATGGCAATGCTGGTAGTAGATTAGAAGCGTACAATTGAACAAGTGGAACAGCAAAAGCAAGCAGAAGCTTATGATGGCATGTTGAAAATGTGGAACAGCTGGTAAACAGCAAATGATTGGCAGCAAATAGCAGTTAGAAAATTAACTAAACTGTTTAGAAACTAAACTGCATTAGCAACAAAATAGTAAAGTTAAAAAATTAAAATTGCAAAACAAAAATAAGCCACAATTTACAGGCATGTAGTTTAGTTGGAGCAAAATGTATATGCAAACAAGAATGGTGATGTAAAATTTGCTGAGAAAAGGCGAGCAATTGCATTTATATTTTAATTAATAACTATGTTACATTTTTTAATAGAAACTGACCAATACAAAGGCAACTTGCATAAGTTTAAATGAAAACGTTAATTTATAACAATTTAACAAACTTAGTAAAAAAAAAAACTAAAGGATTTTCTTAAATGCAATTAATTTAAAGTGCAAAAATAATATTATTTAAAATAGTAATGAGTAAAATAATTGAGAAAAATATCATTAAAAAGACAACTGCGTAGAAATTTTAGGCATTGTTGCACAAAACAATGTTATAGGCGGGGCAAATGCGGCAAAAGCAAAGCAACTACACAGACACATACAGCAAATAAAAAAAAATATAAATGTGTAAGTTCGTAGTGTTAGTACACGTAACAGCATATTTGATAGGTTATAAGCAGAACGCAGGGAGGCATGCTAGTTGATTGGACAATTTGTGCGCGCTAATGTAGTTGAATATAAGAGACATAGTAGAAAAATTAGTGCGCGTACAAGCAATCGACAAAGGTTATTAGTTGGCAAAGGACAAGCACTGATATCGGAAACGAAAATTATTAGGAAAACACAGCATAATAAGAAAAAATAATCAATTAACTGTTAATTTTAAACAATTGTACGTGCATTCAACAGTGCAAGCARATTAAGGAATTTGTATAGTGTGCGCGCTAATTATAATTAAATATGGTGGTATGCATACGATTGATAATTAAATAAAAATAATAATATTAATTATAATTAAATAAAGTAATTAAATTGAATTGCATTGTATTTGAAGAAGAGTTATAAAGCATTAATATGTAATTGAGATGTGCATTTGAATGGATGGTTTAARTAAAAMAAAAAAWTAAAAWTAAAAAWAAWWAAAAAAAAAAAAAAAAGATATTATATACAAACAATATAATATTGAAAGTAAATTGCTTTGCTTTGTGTTAAATTGCTGTTAAATGTATAAGTATCAATTGAAATAATAATGAATATTTAAAAACGATATAAACTGAATACTATTAAAATGAAATAAAACACAGAAACACACACGTACATAAACCAATGAAAAACAGTAAAGAATTGTGAAAAATATACCAAAAAAATATTTAAAAATAAATTTGTTTATTTTACTTTAAAGCAATGGTCGAAGAGAAAAAATGTAGGGTGTTCGGTCAGGAATTTGTACGGCGACCAGCTACTTTGTTATGAACACTGAAATGCAGAATGAAATTAATAACGTTCTGAATAGAACTACACCGGTTGTAGGTCTCTTACGAGAAATTCCTGATTACTTTATTCGCAATCGCTTCGAGCTTCGAGATAACACATTTGACTTGTGAACACAGCTGAGGAGAAAAAACTTCATGCTATGCATCGGCGGAATGCTATCTGGCCGCTTTTCTTAGAGGTCAGGACCCTTCCAGCTGTTAGCTGTACTCTCGTACCTATAATCCATCTGTAGCATATATCCCTTGAAGCACACCCCACGGAAGTATACTGGGTACCCATACACTCTAAATACTTCCTGCATGATGTCATTCTTCTTGGGTGATTATGTCCTCCAGGACATACAGCTGGTGGTAGAGGGGGCAATCTGTATCCTGTCTTCCTTTTCCTCTTGCAAGCACTCGCGGTACAATCCCGCTTCAACTCACCCGATTTCGAAGAGCTGAGCACGGTGAAAGAAGTTTTGGTGAGCTTCGCTTCAACAGCAGCGGCAGCAGTAGATGTCGCTTGTAGAGCGTCACGCCAAAGGTGAGCGGTAAGACTACCGTTATTTCACATTGCGGCCTGGCGTTTGAAAAGCTCCGTTCAAATACAACCGAATTAACCTCCTAGCTGCAAATTATCCAAAGCATACGGGAGTCGCATAACACCCTGAATTCGAAGGTGGAAGCTCTTTGTTGTCGCACGCATGCTGCTTTCGACAACACTCTTGAGCAGTGGCACTCACACCGGTTGATAGGTGCCAAGAATGCCTTGCGACTTAAGCCAGCACCACGCAAGCTGCCTCCCATTCGCAGAGAGTTAAATGGGTAATACAAAACGCACAAATTTGAAAGTAAAAGCAAAACGATAAAAGGAACAGTTCTTTATTACAGTTCAGTTTATAGGTGCTGAAATAAAACTATTAAAAGAATAAAGTGGTAAAAAGGGAGTTATACCCTACATAATATTATTAATTCTCCTGATCGGTCCATACCCGAGATGCCTTTAGTTGAGTTCTTTTCAATGCAAGAGGACGTTCGGACGCGTTTCAAAAATAATCCTGGTCGATCTAATACCGGGAGTCCTCAGTAGTCCCATTTCTTCTCAAACTCATTTCAACCCCGGGGAATGATTTATAAATTTCAGCCATTTTTTTTTCAGGATAGGACATATTAAGTTTTATTTTAGTGTCATATTAGCTATTAGCCTGTGTGGATTGGGGATATCAACCATCAAAAAGGTTGCATGGTAGCAAATAATGTGTATTGCCATACCAATTTTGTTTTTTTGATCAAGGAAAGAAAACAAAGAATAAACTATGTGCCCAAAATATCTGCAATAATTTCAAAGGAATTATTTTATAATAAAATAAAAACAAATACGAACTTAAGGTTTGCACAAATATTTTATTGCATCCAGGAACTTAAAGAAGGCATCTTYGCTTTTGCAATTCAATTCGTTGAGTATGTATCCCGTATTCATCATGATTTACACTACAGTGCTCATAGCTATGGTCCGATATGCAATTATATAAATATTATGTTCTCCAAAAGTCGGTACAAAGAATTGATTCTTCCTTATTTATTATTAGTATGAGCACCTTGGCAGATTTCACATTTTCACGGCACACTTCTAATCGTAAACCACCACTTCCATCTTCTACCATACCCAGTACAGTATGACCTTCGACTTTGCTGTCTGAAATATGAAACAAAAAAAAATAAGTATGTTTGTATCATCTTTATATACACAAATCACGTGTCACGTTGTTTGTTCGCGATGGACCCCCAAACTACTGAACCGATTTTAGTAAAATTTTGCACACTTTGTCCAATTTGAACCAACTTAAAAGATAGGATAGTCAAAATAATTCATAAACAATTCATAAATTAAGTGGACAACTCTATTAACTGGACAGAAAGGCTAGTAACCAGCCATTGAGAAAGCAGCCTTAAATTATTATTTAATTTAACTTTCCACGAAATTTATTTGTATGAACATCTTCATCTACACATAATACTTAATTAAAAATTTTAAGGTTTAAAAATTTATAAACATATAAGCAGTTATGTTACCTGCTTGACTTGCCCTATTTTCATTTTTTAATAAAAACTACTAATTATTTTAATATTATAATTTCTATAATCGGCGATGACGCAACAAATAATTAAGTACTAATTTGCTTTTTCAAATTTAAAAATAAAAACGAAACAAAAAGAGAAACAGTACTTAATTTAAAAGTAGCATAACAATTTAAAGCTGCTGGAATGGTACCTGTTTTCAAAAGGTAGTTCCACCCTTCACGGCATTGTAGTTTTATAACTAAGACGACCTTCGGCCACGCTTAAAAAAATAATTCTAGTTGCTCCAATTCCGGTGTATAATTAATCCCTTCGTGTCAAACTTCTGCGCTCATCTACAGTCGTGATTCAAATACATAACCCCAGCCAATTGAACCCCGGGTGTGTGTAACATTTGAAAGATTATAGAGGAAATCAAGAGCACAAAACACGAAGATCCTGCCAGGTAAGGCATGTCCTCATACAGCGGCGCACAGCAGGCGGCATTCATAATTGGTGAACTTGTAAAGTTTAAATACAATAATCTTAATTATAAGTCGACGGTAGGGGAATGCTATTTTATACCCCAGCCATTTGAATAAATAATAAATTACACACTTTACCAAAAGTTGCATTGAATTTTTTACATTAAACTTTTATATGTATTGCAGCCCACCCACCTAATTAGCACCAACTAGTTTGCTCACAAAAATCGCTCTAAATGAAACAGTCACACATTACACATATGTAAATTACATAATACAAGTAGCTTCATTAAACGAACAATTCAAATATTAATTTCCAAACAGTTATGATTTTCACAAAGATTTATAGAAAACAAAAGCACGGTTTGAAAAATATCTAACGGATGCCCTCAATTGAACAGTTAAGTAAAATACAAAAAGTGGTGTAATCGGAAGAAGAGACACATATTTATCGATAACAGCGACAAAAACGTTGAAAAATTTTAAAGTAATATGGCAAAAAAATTAGATAGTAAAGTCAAATTTCCATTTTTTACTTTTATAGTAACTTCTGGTTTACAATGTATATTTATTTACATATATTTGAAAAATTTTATGAAAAGTTTCATTTTGAATACAACGAACAAATATGCAACCATGTTCCATAGCACTGACTGAACACACCACATTACGAACAGCTGATTGCAATTCTCTACCTTGAATATCCTCCGCAGAATATTTGCAAAATTCTAATCTAACCTAATAGATATAAAAAGTACTTTATGTAGCTCAGTGGTTATTTATAAATGGGAAGAAAACGCCAATAAACACTGAGTAAATACATACTATACGCCTAACATATTAATAAATTTACTAAGGGAAACGTTACGGGAATTGTGATGCAAGGAGTAGGCACTGCGACGACGGATTTTACACAGCCGCAACCACATCATCTGCAGCAGCAACAGCTACAAACACAAACACGACGGAAGCAGCAAGTGCCCATGAATAATGTAAATGATTGGAGGCCATTCGTTTACGGTGGACTAGCGTCAATTACAGCGGAATTTGGTAAGTACCTTTACCTTTAATAAGGGCACAGCAAAGAAGCTAAAAATTGCAGAAACGGTAGTAAACAAGTTAGAAAGATCACAATCAAAAGGCTCAGGCACTAGTGCCTGCCGCCAGCTGGCATGACGCAAGTATTTACAAGTGCATAATTTGTGCCTACAAGCCGCTGTGAGCGGGTAAACAAGTGCTGTATGCACTTAAATAGCAGAGCAATTGAGTAGGTAGTTGCCTTCGCGAAATTTGTGCTGTGCTGCTAATTGACGTCGGTGCTATTACAGCGCAACGACTCGCTTATCTCGTGTTTATTGCTTATATACATACGAGCCGCATGTGTTTGTAAATAAAAGTATTTTATTATAAAGTTGTTTTATTTTTTTTTAATATAACTGCATTTTTTTCACATTATAATCCACAGGTACTTTTCCGATTGACACCACGAAAACACGCCTACAAATTCAAGGTCAAAAAATTGATCAAACATTCTCGCAGCTAAGATATCGTGGCATGACCGATGCTTTTATAAAAATTTCACAAGAAGAGGGCCTTCGTGCCCTTTACTCTGGGTAAGTGCTATCTATTGCTATTTATTACTGAAGCAACACAGGTCTATAATTTCGAGTGTACTAAAATGCTTGTATTAAAATCAAGTTTTATGAAATACGTCTGTGTGGGTGCGAAATATGCAAATATTTATTAATGTGTTACATATTACATTTTATGGATATGAGAACAAATTTTTAACAACTGTTTAATGTGAAAATAATTTTTACTCTACATTTCTATATGATTAGGGGATTCACAAGTCGTGGTACTTGTTGTATATTTCTATATTTGTACTAATTTACTGCTTATGTAAAAATAATATTGTGAATTTCGGTTTGTGATAAAAGCCTGAAATTGTATTCAGTGCGTAATTTAAGTTTCTTTATCAATCAGCTGTTTCTGTTTATGATTAAATTTGCAAAAGTAATTATTCAGAGTTATTAAGAGAGAAGTAAGGTCTTTTCAAATTTTCAAAATTTTGATATATACATTCATTGCATTTATTTAGTACAAAAAAATAATCCCACTTCCCCCGTATAAACCGTATTGTAAAATGCGTTAAGTAGCAATAGTTTTGAGCATCATACTTTTATATTAGCTAAGTATTATAATTATTTTATAAATAAGAAACATATGCGTCTACACTCCAATATGCGCAGATATCTTCTGTTTATCAGTAGACAAAATTTTCCACATTACTATTAATAGAACCAGCACACAGGTTTTCACTAGCTAATACCAGCCACGATTGAATGTTTTAGATTCACATTTGAACCGTATTTAAATAAGTTAAATGACGGGTATTAAGCACTTAAGACGATAAGCTTTAGTAATTGATGATTGAATGGCATTATCAGCTGCTAAACCCAACAAAATCATGACTATCACGTGTTGCATGCAAAATTGTATACTTTAAATGAAAAATTAACTAACAACGATAAGAAATGTAGATATGTAATTAGCTTCATACTTTTCGTAGCCGCTTTGTGTATGAGTATGTGAAAAGTTATGTGTTTTTGCACGTTTCGTGTACATAACGGCGTTAGACTTTACGAGGTTATTTAACCGGTAGATAAAGAATATTATGAAGAAGCGCTGTGTTATGCCTTAACTAAGGTGCTTATCTGATCTGATTTTCCGCTCCCTTTCAATTCACTACGCTTATGCTCATTAGCATGTGATTAGCGTCACTTTAAATAAACTTATTTACACATTTTTTTAATATATTGCAACTATTGTTTATTGTATGAGTTTGCCTTTATCAACAATCTATCGTTCGCTATTTGTTACCAGATGTTTATTAAGGGGCTTGTTCGCACTGAAAATTAAAGCTAGTCATAACAAATGAAAATTTATAAACTACAAAGTGATTTGGTGAATTGGTAAACACAAAATGTTTAGTTCATGCACAGAATTCCGATCCTTTTACTTAAAAATGTTTGGATTAAAAATTATTGCAACCGTGGTTATAGGTTAGATATTTTCAAACTGTTTATAAATAATTATAACGATAACTTTATTTCACATATACAATGTAAATACGTCTTTCAACACAAATATTTAAACTACTCATAAATACTCAATATACCTATATTTCTGCCTCCCCACAGCATCTGGCCCGCCGTGCTGCGTCAAGCTACCTACGGCACCATCAAGTTCGGCACTTATTATACGCTCAAAAAATACGCGCATAACTACGGTTTACTTGTAGATCATGAAACCGGTGGCGAACGTGTGTGGGCGAATATTTTGTGTGCGGCAACGGCGGGTGCTGTCTCCTCGGCCATAGCCAATCCGACTGATGTGTTGAAAGTGCGTATGCAAGTGCACGGCAAAGCGGCGCATCAACATGGTTTGTTAGGTTCATTCCTGGAAATCTACCGTTATGAGGGTGTGCGCGGGCTATGGCGCGGCGTTGGGCCAACAGCGCAGCGTGCTGTCGTTATTGCCTCGGTGGAGTTGCCTGTTTATGATTTTTGTAAAATGCAATTGATGACTGCATTTGGCGATCATGTGGCGAATCATTTTGTGTGAGTATGCTGCGTGCTTTAGAAAATGTAGGTGAATTAATATTATATTGCTCTATGATTGCAGCTCCAGCTTTATAGCCAGTTTGGGCAGCGCGATCGCCTCAACGCCAATCGATGTGATAAGGGTATGAATAATTGTTTATATATTATTTTGCCACTAAGTAGATTTTACTAAGCTTGCCACAAAGTATGTAACACCCAGCACCGGAAGCCCTTTAAATATACATATACACGTAAATAATCAGAGCTAAGTCGATTTAGTCGTGTTTGCCTGTCTATCCGTTTGCATATATGCGAATTAAACCCCCAATTTTTGAGATATTAATCTGAAAATTTTCGCATACGCTATTTTCCTCAATAAGGTTCTTATTGGAACCGCTGATATTGGAACACTATAGTAGATAGCTTCACTGTACAAACTGATCGATCAAAGTACTTATATGGAAAACTGTTATATTTGTTCAAATAACCGCGCCTATTAGATTTATAAAGATCCAATCTAATCCCCTACAACATAAACGTTCAGATTTAGTTATACATATAAGAATAAGAAAAAAATACTCTTTAATTAATTACTTGTAACTTACAGACGCGTCTCATGAATCAGAAGCATTTAACGGTTGTTAATGGTGTGGCGGTGGCGAATACGCAAAAGCTTTATAAAGGCAGTTTCGACTGCGCGGTGCAGGTGAGTACGAAAAAATTTATATTTTTAACTGTTTCAAAATATGTTTGCAACATATGTATATATAAAAATCTTCTACCCGTGTGTTTGTAAATGAACTGCTCCTAAACGGCTGGACCGATTTTGATGAAATTTTTCGTGTGTGTTTAAGGAGATTCGAGAATGGTTTAGATTCAGAATTTGGTCCACTGGAAATGTCTTTTTAAATTAATTTTTTATTTGTAATTAATTGCTAATTTGGAATGTTTTACATTGAATCCGGTAAATTGCGCTACCATCGCAGTATCCAATATTCAAACCTTAAAAGGCAAGACCTATAGCAAGCTTTCATAATGTGGACAAGGTTGTTCGTTCTTAAGAAATAAATTGGGTGATTCAGTACATCTAATGGGTAGACATCACATTTTTTTTCATACCTGCTAACTATTGGAAGGAACAAGAATGCATAACAAGCGTCGTCAAGGCTTTGCGGATACTTTGTTAGATTATGGGCGAAGGACGCAAATGCATTCATAACAAACCAAACGCGATATCTAGAATAAAAGTATAGCGGCATAACTGAAGTGTTGATAAAAAGGTCTGTTATAATTTGAGATATACAGCAATCATTTCGAAGCATTGCACAGAGCAGTGCTATATTTAAACGGTAACGATGAGTATATATATTGCAAACTGATCTTTCGAAAAAAATAATAAAATTGCTAAATATTGGGAATAGTGAAATAGTGAAATAGAACTGCAACCAAATGCACAGTGCAATGAATTAAAACTGGCTCAGTAATCATTCCATGAATAGTATACCACGGGCATCCCAAAAAACTGAAGCCATAACGTTGCCAGCCGATTTTTTGTCTTGACACGCAAGAGAACCGTTTCGTAATATGCAGTCCACTAGGCCGACTGTCGGCTCGAGTCGATTGATTTCACTAGGGCACAGCCCAAATTCAGCAGTATTTTCCCCGAAAAACCAATGCTTTCTTAACGCACGCAATGCTTTTTGATCAATTTTTTTGTAAACTAGCACAAGTTGCTTCACCAAAAATGCGATATCTCTTTAACTAATAGTTATAATAGAAATCATATAGATGATATCAGTTGTACTACCTATGTATCAGCCACAGTAAAACGTAGACGGGTCCTCTAGTTCTGTATAAAAACGTATACATTATATAATTATTCAAATATCAATAAATTATTCATTTATTTCTTCTTAGACTGTCCGCAACGAAGGCATATTAGCGCTCTACAAAGGCTTCATACCCACCTGGGTGCGCATGGGCCCTTGGAATATCATATTTTTTATAACCTACGAACAATTGAAGAAACTCTAAAAACATTTCATCCACATCTTTGTACAGTATAAGTCGCATTTACAAAGACTTTTCAAATCAAAACATTATGCATAAGTAGCGTTAATCATATGAAGCCAAAAAGCAAAATGTAGCCTGTAAGCTTATAGTATATAGATATAGCATATTTATAACGGAACGCAGTACTAATAAAGTAATACAAAGAAATTAACGATATATTAGCGAAATGTTAATATGTTACTTTAGTAATAGCAAAGCAACGTTGTTAAGTGTAAAACAACAACAATAGCAACATAAAATCGTTATTTGTACTTTGTTGTAGCGCCAAGCCACTGCTATAATCGATACTAACCAGCGCGTGCTAACGCAATGTTAGCAACTAAATTTATTGCTGTGCAAAAAGTTGATAAGTATGATATAAAAATGCAGGATTGCAAAATATTGTTAACTATTTCTTACACTAGTAATAAGGTATTAGTTATATTATTAGCCAGTTCAATTTGTTAGCGTATTGAAGTGGCATTGTTTCCTTTAATTACAAAGTAAGTAGCACAAATGTATTACGAAAAGTTGTACCACTAATATTTTGCATATATACATACAGACATATGTCGGGACATAGGTGTGTGTGTTTAGTTAAGTAAATATATGTGTACTAAATATGATTTACTTTACGCTTTATGAAAATTAATTATTTATATTAAAATTTATTAACTCATTGCTTGCATTTTACCGCTACTACAACAAAAACAACAATGTATCAATATCTCTAACTGCTGTCCGAAATTTAAGTTTATAATATGAAAAAAAAAACTTTTATTTTCATATTTTATATTTCTGCATTTTTTATATTAATTCTACAGCGCGACTATATATTTACAAAGTAAGCTTTTAAAAGCATTTCACATATATTTTATAGCTTTATATAGATACAAAATGTTTACGCGTATATTTTTACATTATTATATTAACTATTTTTGTTGGTAATATGTTATTATTATATAAACTAATTGTAGCTGCCTAGATATTCAAAAATATCTTTAACTTTACTTTTACGTTCTAAGCACTCAAACATGTTGTTACGTGATTTCACTATTGTGAAGTAGCTAAAAATAAAGGAAAACTTGTTTAAAAAAAGTGTAATTAAAACAAGAAAAAATATTTTTTCTCATAATTCAAGATCTTAAATCAATATCTCAAATCGTTTTCGAGTTACAGCCTTCTAAGATATAAACGCTCGGCTTAATCACAATCTTTAAATGCGTTTTCCCGAAACAGCGTTTATTAAATTTGTTTGAATGTTTACTAGGACACAAATTGTCATGAATTAAAACGCCGCAATATTCGGATCGGCAATATCATCAAATAATATTGGAACCAGCATTAACGCAAACAACAACGTCAGCCTCTAAATCCAGCGCAGAATAACTCTTGCCAACAGGTGCTACTTCGGACTGAGTAGGCAATTGAGAAGTAAAGTCCCCTCTCCACGAACAAAGACCAAACTCTACAAGTCACTAATCATCTCTGTACTGTTATATGGAGCAGAGGCATGAACCGACGTTATGCGTTTTCGAGAGAAAGGTTTTGCGGAAGATTTATGTGCCTTTGCGCATTCGCAACGGTGAATACCGCATTCGATGAAACGATGTGCAGTACGAGATATACGACGACATTGACATAGTACAGCAAATAAGAGACAGCGGCTACGCTGGCTAAATCATGTCGTCCGAATGGATGAAAACATTCCAGCTTTTCTTATCACTGTGCGCCTTAAATAATTTGGAGATTTTGCTACAAAGCTAAATTTTTGTAAACCTAAGCAAAATAGTTTATTTTTACCATTAAAAAGTTGGATTGTAAAGTCAAATCAGAAATGTTTAAATTCAATTATTCGCCTAGCATTTCATGTAGCCTAAAAGTATGTAATACTTTCTAATTGTAATACTAATTTTTGTAGTGATTTGAAATGGAACAGAATATAAATCTATAAAAGCTACCATAAAACTAGTTCCTGGTATCCAATAGCCTATAAACTCGCAAAATATTTGCTGTTGTTACACGGACTTTAAATTTTTTGGAGATAATTCCCCAAGTAAAGTCACTAAAGTAATTTTTTTTAATAGTAATTTAATTTTAACCATTATACAGGTAATAGTCAAATTGCTGAAGGAATGCCTTTGATATAGCACACACAACTGGAATTCCTCATATATTCAAGGCTGAATCATCAGCTTCAAACATGCTTATGGAGGAGTGATCTCAGCAAAACCAGCAGAAAACTTTTGTCCTTCAGGGCATTCTATACTGCTTCCCTATCTTATCGCCGTCTTTCTCTATGCAGAACTCGTCATGCGTGGTTTTCAACTAATGTGTATCCCCATTCATCCGGTTAATTAAAAAATTCGCATTGAATTTATCAGAAATAAAAATTGAAGTGAGAAGGTCGCTGTTGATGATGTTGTTGTAGCGATTATCTAAACCCTGTTTGGGAAGAGTAATAAGTTAGCTGTCATCGGAATCACTTAACGATAGGGCCACGAAACGAGCTGTTTCGACGGGTTCGGCAGAGAGCTTTTAAGTGAGTTGGTTTCATTAGGCTTTCAAAGAAGTGACTCGCTGCATGCAGGACATAAGTTTTGAATGTCGTGGTCAATTTTGAATAATTAGAAATTTAACCTGCTGTAGTACCCAGAATTTACGCTAAGGTCACTTTTGATTCACGCGGCAACTTGAGTTCTTGCTATGGAATAGATGATATTTGAACTCTATGTATGCCACTCACTGAAAGCGAGTCAATGAAGGTGTTAATAGCATCACAGTTAATGGCGTTCAGTGCCTGTCGGAAATTGGTAGCGTTGAAGAAATATTCTCCTACTATTCTTGGGAGGAGATTCGATCCAAGCAGGTGATTGCAGGAATGGTTTCTGCGAAAACAGAACTGCTGGTATCCTGTCGGGCAACATAGTATTGAGCGAGAAGTTTATATTAAAGATTTCGAGATCAACATCACTTATAGGATAGCTATATTCTAAGAAGGCTAGGCCACCACCACTATTTTGCTTGCGATCTATATGTAAGACGTTGAAACCTGCACATATAAGAAGATCTGAGTGGCTGTTTAGCTTAGTTTCTTGGACCGTAGCTATAAATATGCCCTTCCAGGCCGTTGCAGTTCAATTATAGAAGTCGGGTTTGTTTGAAGGAGGATTGTGGCAGCTGTATTACCCATTTGTTGCGCTTGTACATTATTAGGCGACCTTATGCATGATTTTTACGGAGCAGACTCTTACAGCAGGGGGCAACGTATGACATAGCCTATGCACGTGTGGTGCCAAAGCAAGAATTGAAGAATATTATGGCCGGACAGACGATCAGACGGACGAACGGTTGGACGGAATCATGCTGCCTAGTTGAGCTTTGTGGGACCATAGAGGTTTTTCGTTGACCATCCGACTAGAGTGGCAGTGCATCGCGCGATCTAGGCGCATTTTACATGACCGTAGAGGCTATTGCTGCAGTATTGCGTTGGCAGTAGGGGCCAAATAACTTGGGAACCACTCCCAATGGGTCTGGAGGATACGGAGCAACCCTGTTACTAGGTGTTGCTCTAAAAGTAATGACAGTATTAGCATATTACTTACCGATCTAAACTGGGTTAGCCACTCGAAATAACAGCCCACGGCCGTATAATCCGGGTCAATTCCGGTATCGTATAACCGCCTATTGTGATAATTTAGCGAGAAGTTATAATGAGGGCCTCTTAAAGTCGGTAAAGTACCAGATTTGTTTCCAAGTGGCGTAAAAATCTTGTTAGGGTAAAGCAAATATAATACTATTTTCACATTTTTGACTTTTTGACTTCTGCGAATGCGCTTAGGACTAGAATTTAAATTTTTTTAAACATAAGTTCTGGAATTTTGGCAACATTGTGAGCTTTACAGGTGTCCTACCCTTCCATATATCCCTGTTATTCTACAACTAAATAACAGTGGTGATAACTCTTCAAATATCAATCCTTAAAGATGGAATGATATATAGCATAYACAACAACAACAACATCAGACAAATATTGGACGGGCTTTAGCTATATTACAAAGATTACACATTATTACTCATTGTTCGGATTTATGGATGAAATTGTATAAAGCAAATAAAGAGGAGCTTAGTTTGGCGATAAAAATGCAAGCGTTGTGCAGAATTTCAAATGTAGAATCCTTCAAAGATGTATAACCCGAATTAGAGGCTTAGCTTGGACAAACAACTATCAAAGTTGTAAGAGAAATTCTAATTATTTCTCACATTTGACCTTTCAGGGTCATCACATAGTAGAAATTAGGATTCCGACTGTAATTATAATCAATTTAATCACGAAACAAAAAATTTCAAAAAACCCGAGGCTTTTATAGTCCACGAAATTGGTATTCAAAAATGTCTTCCAACAACACAAGAAACCTCTGATAACGAAGCTGTAACGCTAATAATACTAATTCATCACTTCTTAAGAGCAACGCCAAACCCCAAACCAGCCAGCTTACGCTTACTGAGCAAAGTTCAAATTTTAACGGAGCAACACGTGCGCACGGGAAATTCCCAAAAGAAACCAAGCCAATGCTTTTGTGAGATTTTTCAGTTCAACTCTCTTCTGTCTTTTGACATTTTTTCGTTTTCTTTGCTTTTTATCTTCACTGATGTATTGTTATATGAAAATTAATTAAATCTGGTATTTTGGATAAATTTGTATTTTAATTTTTCGTTTTTTGTTTTTTTTTTTTTGTTTTTCTTTATTGATATTTTTTTCTTTTTTATGCATTTAGTTTGCTTCGCTACACAAGATGCAGAATCCAAAAAACCCAGTGAAATAAGGCAATAAAAACAAATATCGGGTGATTTTTTAAGAGCTTGATAACTTTTTTAAAAAAAAAACGCATAAAATTTGCAAAATCTCATCGGTTCTTTATTTGAAACGTTAGATTGGTTCATGACATTTACTTTTTGAAGATAATTTCATTTAAATGTTGACCGCG